TAAATAAATAAATAAATAAATAAATAAATAAATAAATAAATCTTTGTAGATGTTGGAACTGACACAATTTGGCAAGGCAGACACGATATCTGCCAAATATCTGCAATTAACTAACTATCTAGAAGATAATGTCATGCTTGAGTTAGATGTTTGGTTGATATATGGCTATTCGGCCTGCATGCAAATGCACTCTTTTCAACAGCTAAATTAGTTAAAGTGAAGCAGTGTGCAAAACCAAAACAGACACTGTCAAATAACAAGTTTGTCACTCTGTCTCATCAGACAGTTCATGACTTGAAATACTTCATGCCGTCTCCAGCGGTCTCAAATGTCTCATGGAGTTAAAGTGCATCGCTCTGACGGCCAGAGCTCAAGAAGAGATTATGATCACTGTCTCTCTCTGTCCTTCTTTCTTTCACTCTTTTATTTTGCTCTAATTACCACCCACACTATGGGCTGTATCACCAGCAGGTTACAGTCAGTAGAGATACTCTGATAACCCTCCTACCAGTTAATTATCACAGCTACTGGCCCAGAGGCTCAAACTGACAATACCAGACAGCAGACTTTTGCCTTTTATTAGAAATGGTGTCAGAAATGAAAATCCCTAACTTCAGAAGCACATTGAGAAACAAAGAAAAAGAAACAAATATAAATGTATGTTTACTTCTGATGAAACTTTGATTACACATGCGACAGAAAGCACATTCTGTTGCCGCATACAATCAAATATGAAAATCTGTCTGGAACAACTATCAAATAAGCATACTATACATGTAGCATTCAAAAGTGCTTCTTAATGTTCAAAATGTTATTTTAATGATACTTTGATCAAGAAAAAATGTAAGTGTGATCTCAATAGTTTGTTCTAGATAGTTCAACAAAAAAGGGTGACTTATATTTGAGTCTGTTTGACACACAAAGCCACTGTATATTTACAATGCATTCATGTGGACTTATTAGGATACATTTAATTGTACTTCCCATAAATTACATTTTTAAATTTTAAGAAGAACGTCTAAGATGAAGGGCTATTACAGAGCTTAAAACTGGAATAGACAATAATAAAGTTGTGGTATATTGTATATGTAGAAAGATGAATTAAAACTCACAGCTTTGACACTGGTCTTCCTGGTGACCCCAGCAACGTCCATTACAAGATCTGTGACACCGTCTGCCTGCGGACAGAAGTCAGAATAATCAACCATGACATTTTGTGCTCAATATATTAACAGAACGGAAATGATCCATTCAAATGTATCAACAAAGATCACTTAGAAATAGTTCAGACACTAGATGTGAATTTGTATTTTTCTGTAACATTGCCACATCTCGTATTCTACTGGTAGTAAAATGTATTCAGTCAGCCTTAGAATTGTATTACTGACAGGCAGTTTCTTTCTTTTCTTGCTCTGCACAGAGTAGTTCCCTATTGTAGATGTAATGGTTTTTGAATTGAGTTTGAAGAACCTTAGCATTCACAGGATAAATTAATGGAACATTAACCGATACAGTTCCACAAGCAGAAAAGAGAAAAATAGAAAAGCCACCTGCTCCATCTTCATGGTCTTTGAATATGTATATATGTGTATATATATATATATATATATATATATATATATATATATATATATATATATATATATATGAGATTTTTATCATTTTAATAACTTCACAAGTTTTTATAATTTTGCAAAAAGGCCATGAAATGTATCTTCTGATGTGAAGAACAGTATTTCACATAATTAAATTTTTTTTAAATAAATAAATACAAACAAGATCATTAAAAAATTGGTCAAATCTGCTTAATGAAGTACTCACACGAGTTGCCACTGTTGTTGGAAGGAACCACCAGAAGTTCAGAACGTGGGTTCTTGATGATGTCATTCCAGTGGACGGTGTCAGCGTGACACAGGAACTTGTTCTGATCCACATACACACCACCATTCAGGATTTCTGGTTCAAAACATCAAGATATTAGCTTGTTAAAATAAGAATATTAGCTGAAGGATCAACACTCAAATACAGTGGCTCCAAAATGTATTTGGACATATAAGTATTATGCGTGTGCTTGTGCTATTTTTCCTCTAAAAATAAATGGCACTTGTTTTGATATTATTTATAAACAATAACTTTTATAAATATATAAAGTGTCACTTAAGTGTCCAGTTTGACAGTAGCAGTAGATGAGAAATTATTAGGCACAGATATAAAATCATCTTTATATTTGTTAGCTAAAACTAAAACTATTAAAAAGAATTTTATATATGTGTGTGTGTGTGTGTGTGTGTGTGTGTGTGTGTGTGTGTGTGTGTGTGTGTGTGTGTGTGTGTATATTTATTATGTACATATAAATACACACACATGCATGTATATATTTAAGAAAAATATGTTATGTTTATATATTAAATTTATTTATATGTATATATAAATACGTATGTAAATATGTAAATACATTTTATAAATATATATATATGTATGTGTGTATATATATATATATATATATATATATATATATATATATATATATATATACACACATATATTATGTAAACAAAAAGTTTTATTTTGGATGTGATTTATCACGATTAATCGTTTGACAGAACTAAATATGAAAAAAATGAAAAAATATGAAAAAAAACAATAACTGAAAAACAGAAAAAAACAATGCTGCCTGAATTACAATTGTGTTAACTGAACAAAAAATGTTAGCTGAAATAAATGTAGGTTTGTTATTATCAAACTACTAAAGTACTTAAGTAATAGTTTAATATTATTAAACTAAAAGTACTTAAGTAATAGAATTAGCAAAACTAAAATAAAAAGCTAAATAGAAATATTTGCAAATAAAAAATGTCAAAAGCAGATTATAAAATTACTAAAACGTACACTAAAATTAAAACAAAAACTAAAAATACAAACATAAAAGCTAACTTAAAATATGAACAAATACTATAATATTACATACAATAAGTAATTCTAAAATAACATAAACATGATCATATTTTTTACCATACTGACATTTAAAACAACAGATTACTAAAACTTTAATTAAAAATAAAATGAAAACTAAAAACACAAAAATAAAAGCCAGCTCAAAATATTAAGAAATACTGTAACCGTATAAAATAATACTAAAAGAACACTGGCATAAACACAACTGTATTGTGTATGTGTACTCCATTCATATGCTGGCAAAGCGATTACAATGGAAGCCATCCATACTGATACTGTCTTTGTGTATCATTCATTGATTCCAGCTTTTCTCCATAAGCAGCATACATTTCTAATCTCAAAAGTTTCTGTTATCCTGAAAAGTGTCTCTCAGGGTTCCATGAAGCATTTAGATGGGTGCAAAGCATCACGCTGGTTGTGGTGAGCATGTGCGGGTTTGACGAGCAGAGATAAGTGGCCAGACAGTTCAATTTATCAGTCTCATTCTCAGTGTGTAATTGCAATGATTACGAATAAAAATATGTTTTTGGCATCTCATTTTGACGTCCTCTATCTGTACATAAACTCTTTTCAGTCTTTATCAAAATCAGTATGTGGTCCATATCTGTCTCTCTGGTGCCAGGCTCCCTTCTGAGAGTGTGAAAATGTGTATCAGAAACCTTGCATGGTTGGCTGATCGTATTGTACTGTGCTTTCCAAACACAATGAATAAGTCTGGAAAGAAATCAGACCTGGTGCTCATCCAAGACAACACACACTAGCAATTTTCGACGATATTCTAGTCTCTTTTTGGCGCGGGCTCCTTTTTTCATTCTACATTTTTGGGTTTTTTGCTCATTATATTGTCTGTCAGGTGAAAAAACTAAATCGCAATACTCAATACTACTTATTAATATTTTAGATTCAGTTATCTTCAAATTCAGCACAGAGACCTTGCGTGTTAAACTTCCAGAAACACACTATTAGCAGTCATACTGGTTTCCTTGAAACCAGACAAACATCTTTTAGTACAAACTGAAGCGATATCATGTGTATTAATAACAGACAGCTGAGCTCAGCTAAGACAGATCTCTGTTAAAGTACAGAGACAAATCTCCTGTTTGACAATGAGAGCTACGGTAAATCAAAAGGACTCATCGAGTGTCGAGGGAAATAATTGTTTTTTTCTTGGTCTTTTTGACATAACATCATCGATATTTTGGAACAAATTGAGGGTGAGTAAATGACGACAGAATTTTCATTTCAAGGTGAATTAACCATTTAATAGTAAAAAAAAATAAAAAATAAAAAATAAAAAATAAACTTTTACAAATTTAAAGTAAAAAAAAATAATGATGCCTTTAAACTGTGGCACACAACTCATCCTGCACAAAAATGAACTGTACCTCAGATCTGAAAGACCTTTGCTATTAACTTTCTAAGCAAATGGACATGATTGTTTTCCCTCCTGGATGCATATATATATAAAAGTTTTAATTTATACTTTTTTGGACCAAACAGATGATAAATGGTATATAAGTATACTGTTTGTTGTTTGCAAACAAGTACGGATGGAGTACCATGGTACAGTAATGGCATCAGATGAAAAAACTATAGTACTATGAAATACATTACAGTTCAAAAGTTTGGGTTGGTATTTTAAAATATATATTTTTTTAAAGTATCGTATTCTCACCAAACCCACATTTCATTGAACATAACATCAAGTAAAAACCGTAATATTGTGAAATATCTCTACAATTTGGTGCAATTTAATTTTCTCTTTTAGCATATTTAAAATGTAATTTATTCCTGTGATGCAAAGCTGAATTTTCAGCATCATTATTCCAGTCTTCAGTGCCACATGATCATTTAGAAATCATTCTAATATTCTGAGTTGGGGCCTCAGGAAAACTTCCACAGAGGCCTCAAGATGACTAAAAATAATTAAATTACTAATAATATAACTATTATTAATATTTTTGTAAAAACTCTATCTCTAAATTAAAACTCTAAAAAACTAAATCAAAACATAAACTTAAATTATTCCACATAATGCAATACAAATACATAATTGAATATTAAATAATTAAATAACATTAAAAATACTAATAAAAATCCTATTTCTTATTTTATTTTATATGTTGTGTTTTCCCCATCAATAACAGTTCTTAAAACTTCTGAAATCACACACTTAATTGTGGTTAATTAATTTAATATAGCTATACCTCCTATCTCTTTTAAAAAGAGACAACTTTGTCATAGTTACAAAAGACATGCCAGAAATTGGCCTATATTGGAGAGCCTTTGAATATTGTTCTGGACAACTGGGGGACTTTGAGACAAAAACATTAAGAAGAACTACTTTAGAGTGCTTGACTGACTTGCCAATATCATCAAGTCACTTTGCAACTCCTTATTACATTTCCCTAACATCCATAGAGCCTGAAATGGTTGCTGAAGAAAACACGGCTCTATTAAAATGAGAGATGTGCCGAGTCACACTATTTATATAAAATAAATGCTTATGAAATTTCCAGTTCCATCTTGGCGTCGCTTAGTGCCACTTCCAGTAATATCCTCTTCAGACTAGCATCATGATCCACGGCCCTCCATCGCCTCCGCCCTCCATCCGTCCACATTCACGATGCGTCTCATTATTCAGCCACACAGGGAGGAGAGTTTGGCTGGTGGAGATAGCAGAGCATCCCAGAAATCACAGCCAGCAGCAGGGTCTCAGGAGGCCAGGCTGGGAGGGTTGGTGGAGCCATGATACGGCTGAAACCTCACAGACCATTCTGCAACAACGAGCTCGCAGGTGCACCTCACATTTCTCACCTATTCTTTTCATGTTTGGTGAAAGGTGGATTTGATCTCACAAGCAGGTACCTTTGAAACCGGGTCCCCTCACAAAGAGAAGACAAAGATCAACTGGGACATTGACACTGCAGCTCTCCAGCGAATTGCATTGTGCTGATAATGAATGCGGGACATGGGGTGGCTTGCTTTATCCCTTACGCAACATACAGTTTGATACAATGAATGCCATCTCGATTACGGAGTCCCTGACGAGTTCAAAGCAAACTGACTTACACTTACAATGCAGGCATTTAGTCTCACAGTATCCAATAAGACATTTCTCAATGTCAAACCACTAACACACAAACCCCTTTGGTAAAACAAACTGGCAACCTCATGGAATATACAATTAGTTGTTGTCACAGTAGATTACGGTACATTAGGAAGCACTGCAGTATGCAGATATGTTCCTCAGTGAATTAATACACGACCACAATAGGTTGCAGCATTATTGCATATAATCTTAGTTTACTGAAGGTTTTAAAGGGGAAAAAATAAGAAATTATATATATATATATATATATATACTGCATATTCCCAGCGGATGCATTAAAATTATCAAAATTATAGTAAAGACATTTACAATGTTACAAAAAACTACTTTCTACAAAAATATTAAGCATCACAATTGTTTCAAACATTTATAGTAAGAAGAAATGTTTCTTGAACACCAAATCAGCATATCAGAATGATTTATGAAAATCATGTGATAATGAAGACTGGAGTAATGATGCTGAAAATTCAGTTTTATCATCACAGAGATAAATTGCATTTTAAAATGTATTAAAATGGAAAACATTGTAATAATATTAATAAATAATATTAAATAATATTAATATTTTAAAATGTTACTGATTTTAATTTTAGTCTAAACTTCAGCCTTGGTGAGTATAAGAGGCTTCTTTCAAAAACATTACAAGGTCTTTCCGACCCTGAACTACAGTTTTGAACAGTAGTGTAAAATGTCAAACTAATTGAAACTGAAATCCAGTAAATTCAGCAACTCGTTGTCAACCTGCTATTTCACAAATACAACTCCTAGTTTCCACAAACACTGGCGCATCCCTACTCCCTGAAGCTTGTCAGATTGGAAATCCCAATCTTCAACTAGCTCTTGCCATTTTTGTGTGCAGTACACATTAGAAAGTCTGTTAACGGGCAGT